CGTGGGCCACATGACAGGAAGCAGGTGCCCCCACCAAAGCATGCCGGGGGGCAGGTGGGCCACTCAGGCCTGCAGAGTTTACACAGTCTGCTAGCCAACATTTAGCAGCATCTCACCTCATGGGACCCCCTCTGAGGGTGATGAGGGGACAGGGGCGAGCGGGGGGGCACTGCAAGCAAGATGTGAACGCCTTGTGCTTTGTGGGGGCATGGAGCGCTTGCCGGAGGTACGTCCGCGGCGTTTAAACATGAGGATTAGTGCCTCCCCCTCTCTTTTGCTAATGCACTGCGGCTTAACCCTAGAGTCGGCGTTTGGGGGGGGGGGGCGCGTGAGAGGAGCGAGGGTGGGACTGGCACCAGGCCCAGAGCCCTCTTACCCTCCCTGCCCCCATTGTGTGGAAGCAGAGTCCAGTCAGCACTGCCAAATGGACTGCAAAAATAACATCACTACGCTAATATTTGAAAAACGGGGGATTTGCAGGTTTGCCTGTCCACTAAAATGCCATTTTTGTTTTAATTCTCCTCTCGAAAACAGGCGTATTTATGGTGAGAAACCAGTGGGAGATGGACCTGTCTCCCTGACGGTACTTTCTGCTCGGTTCTCAGTTATGCGAAATTCACTTCTCCGTTAATTCCCCCACGCATGCTGCCCTGGATCGTTTACGTGTGCCCATGATCCAGAGGTTTTCCCTTAAAAGCTGTTTTATGGAAACGCTTGGATTCTTTCTAACATAAACATGGCTTGCCATGTCCAATCGCTAATGCTTTGAGTGGATTACATCTTGCCATATTCGCTTTCTGCGTTGGTATGGATAATGCACGTCAAACAAGTGAATAAAACATAAAGCAAATGTCAATGTATTCATAATTCATACAGATCTTTTGAGGTAGGTTAATGTGTTACGCTGCATGTTTTGTGTAAAATATGCTTGGATATTGCAAATGATTGATAACAGCAATAGGCAGTATTATGTCATAACATACATCAAGGGAGTAGATTTCGGTGCGGACCTCAGGGTCTTCTCCCTGCCAGGAGTGTGGAAGTACCACTGATTTGGCTCCTAGCAACATTGACACCAAACCTATGCCCTTGACAGACACAGAACAAGTGAATATAAGATGCTTTATTTGCTTCATGACTAGGCTGCACTTATTACTGCACAAAAACATCAGATAAACATATTCTATCTTTGGTGCTATCATTTCAATTTATTGACCACTGAGTAAAAGGAAAATTCTTGATCAATTTATGAGGAAGTAAGATGGTCTTATCAGAATAGGAAAACATTTTTTAATGGCAAACAATGAATAATAATATCCATCCATTTTCTGAAACTGCTTGACCTATGCAGGGTCGCCATTCCAGAAGCTACGGATGCAAGGCAGGGAACAACTGAGAATGGGGTGCCAACCCATCACAGGGCACACTCACACACCATTCACTCACACACCATTCACTCACACACCATTCACTCACACACAAGTAGCTATGGGTTATTTAGTAACTCCAATTAACCTGAGCATGTTTTAGGACTGTGGGGGGAAACCAGAGTACCCGAAAGAAACCCCACAACAACACGAGGAGAACATGCAAACTCCACACACATGTAACCCAGGCAGAGACGCAAACCTGGATCCCAGAGGTGTGAGATGACAGTAGCTACTAACCACAGCACCACCACGCCAGCCCATAATAATAATAATAATAATAGAAACGATTTTGTTGGCTTTTTGTGTAACAATAAACATTTTCTAGGAAATAAGTCGACCACAAATAGACTGAAACTGAAAGGGATTCCTCAACTTTGCATTCCAAAAGTCTTGGATTGTTATTTTCTAGCTACGGCCACCAGGCACATGAAATTCATCAGTATGCTGTAATTCATACGTCGGCATTTAAATAAAATTACGTAACATTTACACTAATAATTACTGCTGGTGTATTACACATATACTCAAGCCTTAATAATAAAAATCGGCACTCGACGCTTAAAAATATTTTATAATAACATGTATTTAGGGCAAACAAAATGGCAGTAAATCGCTTGAAAAAATATCAAGATTTATATTAAATAAGCATTCGCAACTCAAACAATAACACAGGCCTAATATAATATAATGAAGGTAGATCGCGTTTATATCGAAGCCTCCAAAAGCAAAAAATGACCAATTTTAATCTGGGATGACGTATGTTATGATTTCAAACCATTTACTGTAATAATAAATCGCAAATGTACTGATCCGTTTGGAAATAAAAGCGTAAGAAAGCGTATTGTCATCAGACTATTTACACAGTCGTATCAGTAACTGATAGAGTATTAATGACTGCTTTCAGCTCTCTGTCGGCACTCTGATTTATCCCAGATGTGCTCTAGCTGGGACGCCGCTAAGTGGAACACTTGTGAGTACTTGTGAATACTTGCATGATATGAAGTTGCTGGCCGGTTTTTCGTCAAACTATCTTTCTCCTGACCGGTGATAGCACTTTAGAGATGTGTATCGTACTGTAAAACGGTTCCAAACTTAAGTCCGAACCTCTTCCACCTGCCTTGCATGGTTAAACTCAGCCGTTCCGTCAAGAAAGACTTAGCCCGACATTGTGAGACATACTGGTGAGCCGTCCTTAGATCTACGCTAAAAAAGAAATGATAACGCAGTGCAACAAAACCACTTACCCGTATTTATAGTAGATAGCAGGGTAATATTTATAGTTAAAGCTACTTCGCTATCTAATAAAACAATAGTTTATTGTAAACAGAGGTGATGGTTGAAGCATATGAAACAAGAGTGTAACACATCGCAAAACAAACAAATTATGACTTTAAATGGCCAGCAATATACTGGAAAAAAATATTCAGTGTAGATATATTGTGCATATACTGTACATCCTCCTTCCTTAGTCCTCTTTAAAGGGCCGTGTGGCAGTGCTTAAAAACGGCTTTCGGTAACGCTAGTTGTCACTTGGTCGATGCTTTCCTAACAAAGGGCACAGGAATTAATGGTGTATCACAAATTACCGCGTGGAAGGTGATGCCTGACTGGGGGCAGAGAATGGGAAGCATCAGAGTGGCGGGAGTGGGCGGTGGCGTCAGCTCCAGAGGTGCAAAGCGTGACCATTAGCGCGGCCTTCTGGGCGAGACGGGGCAGCGACGGTGCGCATACTGTGCACGGAATTAAACGTGCAACGTGCTAATTAAAAACATAGGGGTTTGCTGGGAAGGTGACCTAAGAGTTAAAGATACTGCACTTTTAATCAAAGGAGTGCAGCTTTTTAAAAAATCACATGCATATATGCTAACCTTGAGCCGGATGGTTTACCCAAAACATCGTGAGACCTGGGGGGTCTGAATATGCAGGAAATGGGGGGGGGGCCGCGTGCCTTCCCTAAGCGGCTGTTTGCCTCGTTTTTACGTGAGTAGCCTGACACCTAGTGGCCATTTCGAGGCAGTACAGGCCAAAATCCAGAATGGCCTCATATTAGGCGAAAAAACACTTTACAGTTTGAGATTCCTATTATATTGTGCCAGTTCCAAAACCAGTAATATGTATTGCCTTTGTTAATCTTTACGGTGCTACTTTATTAATCTGATTTTCTACAATGTTTTTAGTTATTTATACTGCAGTGGCCCTGCAGGAGGGATGATGGAGGGACAGAATGAACATCGGGCCTCTCGCCTCATCCAGGGTATAACGATGGCGGAAGAAACAGGTCATTTTAAAATCGTAATTTTATTAATAGTTTAAGATTTTATTAAAGATACATCTATCCTTTGTCCAGCCACCTGGACTCATAGGGCACAAGGTAGGGTATGTGCTGGAAGGGACGCCAGTCCATCACGGGGCACGAGGCAGGGGTACACCATGGACGGGACGCCAGTCCATCACGGGGCACCCACACACATACTATAGTCACCAATGAGTCTAACTGTATGTGTTTTGTTACAATGGGGTAGAAACCTGCATGACATGCAGAGACCATGCTAACTCCACACACACACACACACACACACACACACACACACATACACACACACAGAAGGGGGAGGGGCTTTGAACCCTCAATCCTGGAGGTGCAGGGCACCGATGCCGCTGTGCTGCCCGTAGAACATGACAGCCAGTGTAAATCCACACACCAAGCGTCATAACTGGGGGCAGACACATGACAGCCAGTGTAAATCCACACACCAAGCGTCATAACTGGGGGCAGACACATGACAGCCAGCACTAACTACTAATAATGACCAAGCCTGTCTCTACCTGTGACAGTGGGATCTGTATTCTGAGCAGCACAGCAGAAGTCTGAGAGCATCATATATGTGCTGCCACAAACCAGAAGTGTGGTGTATTTCGATAGAAATACGCAAACATGGTTTATAAAACAAGGGTCATCTTGAATTACATCTAATATACTGTCATTCTTTTAAATTAGTTCAGGTTGTGATGACTTTATATTTAACTTATTCATCTGAAACTTTCATCCAAAGAAACCTGTAGTAGAGGGAAGAGTTACAATTTATGTGTGCAGCCTAGGATTAGAATCAACAACCTTCACATTGTCTTTACATCACTCTACCGGGCAGTGGTGGCTTAATGGTTAGGGAAGTGCACTTGTAATTGAAAGATTGTTGGTTCGAATCCCTGACCAACAAGGTACCTCCCCCAAGCACTGCTCCCTGGGTGCTGAATTAGCTGCCCCCTGCTATGTCATGATGTCACATATGGGTTAAATGCAGTGGACACATTTCATTGTTGTGTGGTGTGTCAACAATGACCACTGATTTCTGAACTCTATTTGTGGAGCTAGAGGAGATACTATCATACCTACATGTGTGTGTAATATTAGTACTCAAGCTGCAATATAAACCATTAGCTTATAGTAATGCTGTGACACATCAGGAGCTCTGTCCTGGACAATCGTGGGTCGCTAACCTGCGCATGGCTCTCTCACAGAGACACACAGCTGTGATTTATTTATAGCACAGCCTGCGCTGACATGGCACTGAGCGTCGCGTCGGGGAGCTGGGCTCTGCGGCTCAGCCGCTGCGGAATCTGCTGCTGGTCTCCAGCACAGGTGCTAAAATTAGACTGAGGCGAAGTGGGAGAGAGCATTCACCAGGGCAGACGTTCAGAAAAAAGCAAACTTTCCCACCTGCTAACATTGCCTCCCCACCCCTTGGCACTAGCGGATCCTGGTCAGTGGATGTGGGTGAGTCATAAAATCCTGTGTTTCGGGCCCCGTTGTTCCTGATAAGTGTTTGTGTAGCATGACACACCATGTTTAACCTTTGAACATGGGGGAGTGGAGGGGGGACGGAAAGGCTCGATTGCCCCTGAGGCAGGAGTTAGCTGCCCCTGAGGCAGGCGTTAGCCACTCCTGGGACTTTTATCACTGGCTCAAGTTCTGCTGACATTCATAAGCAAAGTTATTTCAAGATGAGCAAACTGTCACTTACTGTGTTTAAATTCATTTCTCCAGTTTGTAGCCGCTATGACTAGTATCAATACTATAACTAGCTCTCAGTAATGTTTCCTATCTCTATATCAATGTCTAGGCAAAACATCCATGCTGATTGCCAACGGACACTGAGCGAGTGGGCAGATGCCCTGAGATTGCTGGGTATTGAGAAGGAGCCAATGGGGAGGTCCGGAGAAGCAGGTGGTGGGCGGGGCCTGCATAGCCCAGACCCTCTGGTCCGGGAGGCTTTTGTGATGTCATATGACTACATCAGCTACGTGACAGCGAGGCCCGGCACTTCTGTGCCCCCTGCTCCCTCAGCCGCAGCTGCTGCCCTGCGACACGCTGGAGATGAACTGCTCCTCAAATTCCCCATCTTTTTTCGCCGCTGGCCACGAGTCTTCCAGGATGTGACGGAAACCTCTGCCTGCCCCATGCTCATCGCCATCCTGGATGAGCACTTTGCCCCCGCCCCTGGGGGGCGCCGGAGAGAGTTGGCCTGGAGTGCTATCTTGTCAGTGTATGTGCTGGCTGGACAGATGGCATTGCACTGCCAGGAGAAGGGCATGCTGGGAACTCTTCCCGAGCTTCAGGAGTGTGTAGGGATGTATGTGGAGAGATTGATCTGCCCAGAGATCCGGGACAAGGGTGGATGGGTAAGTATTTTCTGTTTTTTTTTTCAAACTTGACTCCCTGAACTACAATATAGACTTTGCTAACATTGACAATGCTTCCTCTTAGTTTAGTGTTACTCTTTTTGTGTAGCGCTGTAACCATTACAAAATAAAATTCTGCAGAACAACAAGGTGCTTCTGTGGATTAAAGTCACCTTCACTTTGTTTTTGTTAGTCTGGATTTGTGTCTCGCTTTGGTAAGAAGCAGGACCTAGAAAGCCACGTGAAGAAAGTGTGCAGCTGGACTCTACTCGTACTGACCATGAGCATCATCTCATATTTCTTGTGGAAAAGGAGGGTGCAGTAAATCACAGCACCATCCGGTGACGAGGATGATTCATCCTGAAGAATGTCCCGAAGAAAGTCTTTTCGCTCCCTAACATTCTTATCGGTATCAAACCAATACTGGCAAGTTGCAACAAGAATGACTACAAACCGATACCTAACCACCCACAAGAGGGCGATAGTATCCCATCTACCATTTTTTACTTTGTGCTTGACAATTCGAGTTGCCAGGTCAGAAAAAAAATGTATAGCCAGTTAGCCACAATACTTCCTATAAACTGCACAGCATGGCCTGAAACCAGTGATTGTGGAACAAGGTGTTGGGGGAAATTCCTCTATTGATCATTTTTATCTCACACACGTGCCCTTTATGTCGCAAATAGCACATTTTTGTGCACCATTTCACTGCATGTCATTTTGAATTTTTCTGGTTTAAAAATGTATCTTGTGAACATCGTCTATTTTTGCAGCAACCCCCCCTCCCCCCAATAATGCTACACCAGATTTCACAATCCCGTTTCTTAAGGAGCAGAATTTAGCATGAAAACTTCAATTCTGGAAACTCTGCTGACAATAAATGATAAAGCACTTACATGGCTTCATATGCAGTGATGTCAGCTATTTATTATACCATATGGGGATGACCTTTTAGATTTTTTATATGGTTTTAGCAGTGAAACACTGCCAGTGGGCCTTGCAACACTGACCGAGATGAACAGATGATGGACGGACTCTGTCAGCAGTATCACCATTAAAGGTGCCAGCAGTGCATTTTTGTATTCCTTAAAAATGAGTGATGGCCCAAATACCCCATATTATATATTGTTCAGTATTAAATGAAGATATTAGTATTTTTAAAAATAATGGCTACGCACATTAACAAACTTAATGAAATAGCTAATAAAATTAGCTTATATTGTTCATTATGAAATAATCGACATGCGACACGTTAAGTGCCTATATCAAATGTATCCATGTAAACCTTGCACATTGAACATAGAAAAATAAAACATTTAGGTATAATATGCAGTGAAGTCATCTCCTAGTCCATTCGGCTCCGTCTCCCAAGATACACAAGTCTTCTCTGCAAAAGTTGACACTGGCAGTCACATGAACCGAGAAATCAAGCTCCTTACCTTGTCAGCATTTATCACCCAGATTAACAAGCCATCTTAGTGCAGGATTTAATCCTCTACAAGAACAGTTCAACTATTGTATGGATGTTTAATGCAGCAGAAATATTCCTTATTGCAGTGTTTTACCAATTTAGCATTTTTCACTGTTGTAGTATTAATTCAGATGAATGAGAAATTGTAATATAATTTTAGACCTTTAGGTTTTATGCTGAGATGCTTTCCATATTGTAGATGCACTGTACTGTGTAATTAGTTCTGCAATTAAAAAAAAATCCCTAGCTACATAATATGGTAACCTATTTTTGTTGCCAGTGAAACAGGAGTTTATATATATATAAAAATGGGTTTTATTGGCAGGTTTCTGTACAGAAAGGAAACAGAAGCAATAAGCAGAAGTGACAAAAAAGGACAGTTTTTGAAACTCTGGGAAATATTGTGTCAGAAATTATACAGCTTGGAATAATTTACACACATTACGCAGCCTCCTCCTCCGCCTCATCCTCAAACTCTCCTTCCTCCTCTGCGGTCGCATCCTGGTACTGCTGGTACTCGGACACCAGGTCGTTCATGTTGCTCTCCGCCTCTGTGAACTCCATCTCATCCATGCCCTCGCCGGTGTACCAGTGCAAGAAGGCCTTGCGCCTAAACATGGCAGTGAACTGCTCAGAGATACGCTTGAAGAGCTCCTGGATGGCCGTGCTGTTGCCGATGAAGGTAGCGGCCATCTTGAGCCCACGGGGTGGGATGTCGCAGACAGCTGTCTTCACGTTGTTTGGGATCCACTCGACGAAGTAGCTGCTATTCTTGTTCTGCACATTCAGCATCTGCTCATCAACCTCCTTCATGGACATGCGTCCACGGAAAATGGCCGCCACCGTCAGGTATCGCCCGTGACGGGGATCACAAGCCGCCATCATGTTCTTCGCATCGAACATCTGCTGCGTGAGCTCAGGTACTGTGAGGGAACGGTACTGCTGGCTCCCCCTGCTGGTGAGGGGAGCGAAACCAGGCATGAAGAAGTGAAGGCGGGGGAAGGGCACCATGTTGACAGCGAGCTTGCGCAGGTCAGCGTTGAGCTGGCCGGGGAAGCGCAGGCAGGTGGTGACGCCGCTCATGGTAGCTGACACCAGGTGATTAAGGTCACCGTAGGAGGGTGTGGTCAGCTTCAGTGTGCGGAAGCAGATGTCATAGAGAGCCTCGTTGTCAATGCAGTAAGTTTCGTCTGTGTTCTCTACCAGCTGGTGAACGGACAGTGTGGCGTTATAAGGCTCCACCACGGTGTCAGACACCTTGGGGGAGGGAACCACGCTAAAGGTGTTCATGATGCGGTCGGGGTACTCCTCACGGATCTTGCTGATAAGCAGGGTGCCCATGCCCGAGCCGGTGCCCCCACCCAGGGAGTGGGTGAGCTGGAAGCCCTGCAGGCAGTCGCAGCTCTCTGCCTCCTTCCTCACCACATCCAGAACAGAGTCGACCAGCTCAGCCCCCTCTGTGTAATGGCCCTTGGCCCAGTTGTTCCCAGCACCGCTCTGACCTGCAATGTAGTGTTAAGCACCATAAACTAAAGATCAGGACAAAATTGGTCTCATTTTAATTAACCAAGAAACTTGTGTTTGTGTTAAAGTACCACGATGAGCACCACCTAACTTACCGAAAACAAAATTGTCTGGTCTGAAAACCTGTCCGAAGGGGCCAGACCTGACAGAGTCCATTGTACCCGGCTCAAGATCCACCAGGACAGCACGGGGGACGTACTTGCCACCTGAAATGTTTTTAAAACTATTACTACAAAATTCATAGCATCTGAAATTGATCAAATTGTGCTAAAATACAAGTATTCGTTTTAACTTGTGAAATGAAAGATCACCTGAGGCTTCATTGTAATATACATTGATCCTCTCCAGCTGGAGGTCACTGTCACCATTGTAAGTGCCAGTTGGGTCAATGCCATGCTCATCGCTGATCACTTCCCAAAACTGCAAAAGGCAAAATATGAAAAAAAGTTACCATGTGACAGCAAGAGCAACTACAGTGATGTCACTTCCGGGGTTTGCGCACGCATCTGTAGACACGACTTTAAATCTAGTTCAGGTTAGTTATTTTTTTAAATCGAGTTCAGGATTATTTTTGCACAAGTCTCCAAATAACCGCAGCCCCAGTCGCACGGAAAACAAATGCGGAAGTTGCGAAACGAAAATGCGCCCTTGCGCGCCAAGAGGGCAAGGAAGGCGCCGCGTGGTGCCCGCCGATTGGCTGGGCTCCATCCGGTGTAATTTTTGAAAATGGTAACGTCACTTCTCGCGACCTTCTGGTCCCGCCTACCGCTCGCAGACACTGCGGCGCGCGGAACTAGAGCGTTTATGGAGCGCACATACCGGCGAAGAAGCTTCACAAAGAAATCCTAAAATTACTATACTTAGAAAGCTTAATAATAATGATATGCGATGTATCAAATAACACTCAAACATATAACTTGTTGCATTAGTTGATTTAGTAATAAAACTACATATTATTCCGCAATGCAGTAAACGTTTGTGGGAATCCCCACCCAGCTCATTGCTCTTAAGATACACGTCAACCAAGATTCTAACTTCGGTAATACGCTTTTGGGACTATCAAATTGCAAATAAATAAGAGGTATTTGATTTAGAACTATTTGCTCGGATGTTTTACATATCTTCCTTATTTTTTTTCCTCATGCTTCAAATATCAAATATGTGGTCGTTTCATTTTAAAAATATCAAAACCAGAATTAGAAAAAATATTTGCATGCCATGTTGTTTACAGATAAAACATATACTGGTTTTCCCACCAAAACATTTTATCAAAATGGAATATATAAAATATTGCCGATTCAAAGTGACTGACCTTTGCACCAATCTGATTACCGCATTGTCCGGCTTGAAGATGCACGATTTCCCTCATTTTTTTAGTTCAATAGGTAATACACAACACGATCAGAATAGGAGCTGCTGCTTTCTTCAAATGCCTGTTAACGGCACGTCTCCAGCGCTTTAAGACTTCATGAACACCCGCCTTTGCTGTACAGTCAAGCGCAGTGTCCTCGACAGCCATTAGCTACTTGCCATCACAACCTGCTGTCACTCTACCTTTAGACCAATCAGAATTGAAAGGAAAATACTCTCATTGGCCCTGTAAGTCTATCATTCAAATTGAACGAAAACGTTTTTTTTCTACCGTCGCTCTTTACGCAGTTAGTTGAGAGATGAATAGCGAGATCTGGCCTGAAAAATAAGGTAATAATGTAGGTGTTGGAGTTGTTTAATTTAATTTCTTTGAACGTCGTTATTAAGAATGGAACGAAAATAGTTTTACAGGTCTTCATACAAAAAATAGTAATACTATGTTATAGTCAAACTCCCCCTGAAATACCACGTGTCTGTTCAGTTGTGGAAAAAAATACCTGTTTTAAGAAAAAGAGCGCCGGGCTTCTGATATGTCAAAATAGTGTATAACTTAAATATTCCATATGTCTGAAAATGCATTTACTACAATCGGTATGGTGATTCCAATACAACGGGATGTGTTCGATAAATTAAATAAGGTAAAAGCAGGTACAATTCACACTCCCCGCCCCCCCCCCCCCCCCCGGATTTGGGAAAAAGTCCGGCAACAGCACTGGCACCAC